TTCAGCTTTTGTACAATGAAACTTTTATAATTTTTATCTTTCCTGCCCTCCACCCTATCACAGACCTTCCTTTTTGTACTTCCATACCCAGCTCCTTACCTTTGCTGTAGTAACACTAGTCTAATTTTCTCTCTCAAACAATTGCAGTGCTGTTCCCGATAAAGAATAAATATACTTCTGTATCAGTCCTATCTAGATGCATCACACTGCATTTGTTTGCATTAAATGCCATTTGCCATTGTTTGGCCCATTCCCCGAGTGCATTAGTTCCAAAGAGTCATGTCAGATCTGCTGAGTTACTCCAGCACTTTGTTTCATTAACCCTAGTACACCCAGTCTTTTTGCAGAAAACTATACTTCTATGGTTGGTTTGTTAGTTTGCAGACATTTCATTACCCTGCTGGGTAATGTCATCAGTGCAGCCTCCGATGAAGCGCTGTTGTGTTTTCCCGCTTGGTATTTAAACTCTGGGGTCCGTTGGAGTTGATTACCTCACTCGTCTCCATTCAAATGGCTAAGGAGAACCACCAGTTCGATTGGGACAACATCGGGATCCTAGGACAGGCCAAACAGAGACAAGCACAGCAACTTCGAGAGGCTTGGTTCTCCACTAAGAAGGCCATCAATAAACACGTAGAATTAGACCCTATAAATACACCACTGCGAAGAAAAACTGGAAATGAAGTAATCAACTCCAATGGACCCTGGAGTTTAAATACCAGGTGGGAAAACGTCTGCGAGCGAGCGAGCCAACCAACCACAGCATCCACAACCCGAGCTACAAATCTACTCAAGAATCTTAAACTATACTTCTCTACAGTTTGAAAATTCAAGTAAATTCTTGTATCATCTTCAAACTTGCCAATTATAGCCTAATATCGCTGTCCAGGTGCTTAATAAATTTAATTGTGAACAATAATAGGCCTTATACCAATCCACAACAATTAACTACAACGTTTCTTTAATTTTCTCCCTTCCCTGATCTCTTCTGATGTTGCAGCTGGAAGAACAGACTGGCTGCCCTTCTAATAGAGATTTACTAATGTCTGCTCTCTCTTCATTGCTAGAGATGCTTTTGAATGGTTTCTGCCATTCTAGAAAACCAAGATTTTAACAAGGCAAGTTTCACTACATCCATGGAGGTTTTTTATTTAAATCATAACAATTGTTGTGTTTCATCTGGTTTCAGTTCCAGTCTGTCTTTCCCCTTTGGAGGGTGAATTTGCCATAATTCCAGGAATCTATGACTATAGAAGTGTTCCTTTCTGATCTTTGTCCAGCTGGATCATGAATTATAGTCTAACAACTGCTGGTGCTGTGTTGTGGCTGGAACCTGCAACACTAATAAGGATTAGGTTTCCTTACATTGAGACTGTCCGCTGGAGTTAAAAGTGCTGCTTAAGTTTCTGTCTGACTCAGAACTCTCATGGGCATTTCCATTCTTCTTCATCACTAATTTAGATTTAAGAACCCCACAGAATGAAAAACAAAACTAAAAAAAGAGAAATGTATTTAAAATCAACTTGTTAAAATATCAGAATTAAGATTTTTTCTTTCCAGTTTTTTTTAGAACCAATTGAGATGGACTTTTCTGCAGTTGATGGGGATTATGAATTTGGAAATCAAATTGATGCATTCACTGCACAAGATAATATGTGTGGCTAGTTAATGAGAATCCAAGAAGCAAATCAATAGATGTTTTATGGATAATTATGATAATGGATGCAAAAAGCAAAGAAACAATGATCCCCACATGAAAAAATTACTTAACAAGATTTCATTTTTTGTAACTTTTACTTTAACAAAAGCCTGAATCAATATAAACTAAATTAACATGTAAATAATGATTAGTATTAACTAAATATTATGCATAGAATAGGAGATATAGCAAAGAAAAATTTGATGATTTTTTTTAAAGTCGTCCACTCCCTATATGACATCAGTGTCAGCAACACAGTTTTTTTAAGTTCAGATTTTCCTCATGCAGAATTCCAACCATTTTCTTCAAGGGCTTAGCCAGACAGCAGTATCCATGTTGTACCATGCAATCCTGTACACAATGGCACAGGTCATTGTAGAACCTTCTCAACTCTCAGTAATGGTAGCATGCTTCAGCTGATTCTGGAAATTCAGTCACATGGAAGCAAAGGAAACAGTGGCAACAGCTCTATATTCCTTCCAGCTGTCTGACCCAGCTTGCAGACTGCCTCCTCTATTCAGTACCTCTCTTTCCTCATTTTGTCTCCCACATAGCCTCCACATTTTTTACTTTGTGTTTATACTGCTTCCATGTCAAATGTCATCAGGTCCCATGAACCAGCTTTTGTCATCCAAAATTAATATTGGTGTCTTTGCAACAGGTACAAACCCTTTTTTAAAAAAGTATATTTGGAAAGTATTTCTTTTAAGTATACATTTCATAAACATTTTAACTTACTACACATTTTCATGATTATTACTAATTCTGGATCAAAGGCTGTCACAAAATAAAGGTGACAAAGGAATGAGTAGTAACAGAAGACTCATTCTTGTAGAAGGGAGATTTTGACTACTTTTCTGAACACAAGTTAAAAATCATTAATGTTTGGCACTGTGTTTAAAAAATGAAGCTTCCATTTTGCATTCAGTAAAATAAACCTGGAAACTGGTAACAAAGTGCTCCAATACATGCAAAGAATAGGAATTATTGAATGATAGTATTCGTATTAATAGCTGTTATAACAATGTAGAATTTTACACCCCATTTTGAAGGATATGCTTTTTCAATTGCAGTATGGAAGTCTACAATTAAGGAATCAAATATGCCAATCAGGAAAATTATTAGAAGCACTTGCCCAGTGGCGTCAGAAAGCAGTGACTTTACTTGAGGCTTTTGTTATACCTTAAAGATGAAGAAAGGGAGCAGACCAACATAATTGAGGAATCAAAACATATCATTAATTTAACTGAATTTCCACTTTGGCTGCAGTCAGAACACTAAACATAAAGTTGGGTCCTTCAAATTGTTATTTGTTAAATAAAATTATGGTTCAAGCTTACACTCAAATTAAATAAAAACATATTTTAAAACAGTGAATTAGTGAATTGGTTCCTTATAGTAGCATAGTGGTAATGTTACTGGATTAGTAATCCAGAGTCCTAGACTATTCCTGCACAATGACTGGGTAGAATTTAATTTCAATTAATTAATAAAATCCTGGAATAACTACTAGGTTAATTAATGTCCTGTAAGGGTATAAATCTGTTGTCCTGACCTAATCTGGTCTACACTGTGACTCCACACCTACAGTAATGTGGATGACACTTAATTGCCCCCTGAAATGGCCCACTCAGTTAGAAAGGGGCTCATCGCTACCACCTCGGCAAGGCAATGAAGGACAGGCAACATACGCTGGCCTTACCAGTGACACTCATCCTTGAGTAGAAGAAAAATTGAATTATTTTAACCGCAGGTATTATTAATACAGCTGAAAAAGAGTTTATCACAATGATTTAGCATTTTTAATAAGTATCCAGTTCTCTATCTCAATGATTCTTAAACTAGGGTTTGTGAACCACTAGGGAATAGGACTTTCCAGGGGCTCCACAAATTGCTATGTAAGTGCTAACTGAGCAGGGCTGGCTTTCTAGTTGAGTGACATGGACAAATGCCCAAGACATCATGATCAGGGCTTGGATCTCACCTAACCACATAGCCAATCGAGGGCACCCGCCACTTTGTTAGATTCTGAGCTTTTTACTTAAAAGCCCTGTGTGGCAAATGTTAATGGAGTCTTGGTTTGTGCACTGTCACTCAAGGAAGTACACAAAGCTGTCAAATAGTCACATATCATCCTTTAGTGGGTCGGCCAGTGCTTTGCAAGACAACTGCTCTACCAGACTGAATAAATCAAATTCTGTTTTTTAATTGCATGGTTTTTTATGGATGTACCGGGGAAACTACATTCTGCAATTCCACACACTAGTCCATGATTAAAAAAAAAATTTTTATGTAGAATGATTTATGATTGTCATTGTTAAACATCACAAGATATACCATCATTATAGTGAGACATTAGCCGACCCATCTCGCTAATATCTGTAAATAAATACCTATTTTCTTAAAAGCATAATTAAAACACATATACATGTAGTCCTTCCATATTGATAAGTATTACTTTATTTTTGAAGGGGACGGGGCCTTGATTCCCAGTCAATTTGTAAGGAGGTCCTTCAATTAACATTAATCAACTCTCTACTAGTTCAAAGTACTACAGAATTTTTTTTAAACCAGTGGTAAAGATTATGAATGCTCAATGCACACTCCATGAAGCTTACATTTAAAATTTCCCTCTCCTCTCATGTTGTTTTGGATGATTTCAGACAGATTGTATTGATGTAGCCAGCAAAAACGCAAGACAATCTCATTTCACTCAACTGCTGTCAGTGATAAATCTATTTTTTGGAGGGGGGTGGGGGGCGATATTTGCAGTACGTTTATGAACTTTTTTATGCCTGAATATATCTTTCAAATTGGTACTAAAGAATCATGAATAAGTAAATTGTAATTAAACAGCAATTTCTCAATAATTCTTACTAGGAATGAAGGGGATGCTGCCTTTGGATCTTTGACCAATTTTCTGAGACATATCAGCCTAGCTTGCAGTAAATACAACAAATACCATTTAATACTAACATTTTCAAAACAAACATTTCATTACATCTTTTTCTGGTCCTGTGGAAAATGTCATAGAGTATTTAGGTAGATCATAAAACACAGCACTAGAGTTTGTACTTCAATAAATTTATTTTGTTGATACATCCATAAAATTGTGTAATCTCAGTCAATACAGAGTTATTTATATTTTGAGATACTTACGGGACCTATGTAAATTATGATGAGGCACAATATTCCCTTCACAGAATGTCAATAATTGAGGAAAGAGGATTTTATTAAAAAGGCATTACTCCCACATAATAGTTGAATAATTAAAATTGTCTGAGTTTCCTTTTGCCATCAGTCTGTATACAGTGTTCTATTTTGGCTGTGGTTTAGCATATCTCAACTCCTCTCTTTCAGGGTGAGAGTATATGACCTTCGGACAAGTAAAGAAGTGATGTCATTGTATGGCCATCAACTGGGTGTGTCATCAGTACAGATGGATGACTGGAAGATAGTCAGTGGTGGTGAAGAGGGATTGGTTTGTGTGTGGGAACAGCGAATGGGAACCAAGCTCTGGGAAATGCATTCCAGGTATGAGTTTATAATTTTTTTAAATCAAGGGAAATGCTCATCAGCTATTTCTGTGGATTGATCACGTGGAAAGACATTTCAGTTGTAACAATTTATTCACTTTGCTTAGGACGGTCACAAACGCCAAGTTTTGAGTGTGGTTTTCTGAAATCTGCCAAAGATCCTTTCCTCCCTTCTCAATTCTGGGTACTTAGTTGAAGCACTTGTGACATTTCTGGAAAATGTGACAGTGTACCATGTAATAAAATGCAATTTTTATACAACGCAATCAAATGCACAAAAAGAGATTAAATACTAGTTAATGGTTTTGTTGTTTTTGATCGATGAAAATATATTGATCAGGACACCAGGAAATTACCTGATGCTTTTTAACTTTGTTTTAAAACGTATAAAGGTGGATAAATCCCTGGGACTTGATCAGGTGTAACCTGAATTCTATGGGAAGCTAGTGAAGTGATTGCTGGCCCCCTTGCTGAGATATTTGTATCAGCAAAAGCCACAGGTGAATTGCCAGAAGACTGGAGGTTGGCTAATGTGTGCCACTATTTAAGAAAGATAGTAAGGAAAAGCCAAGGAACTATAGACCAGTGAGCCTGACATTGGCGGTGGGCAAATTGTTGAAAGGAATCATGAGGGATGGGATTTACATGTATTTGGAAAGGCAAGGACTGATTAGGGGTAGTCAACTTGGCTTTGTGCATGGGAAATCCTGTCTCTCAAACTTGATTCATCTTTGTGAAGAAGTGACAAAGCGGATTGATGTGGGCAGAGCGGTGGTCATGATCTATATGGACTTCAGTAAGGCATTTGACAAGGTTCTTCATGGTAGACTGGTTAGCAAGGTTAAATCACACAGAATACAGGGAGGACTAGCTATTTGGATACAGAACTGGCTCGAAGGTAGAAGACAGATGGTGGTCGTGGAGGGTTGCTTTCCAGACTGGAGGCCTGTGATCAGCGGTGTGCCACAAGGATTGGTGCTGGGTCCACTGTTTTTTGTCATTTATATTAATGATTTCGATGTGAACATAGGAGATATGTTTGGTAAGTTTGCAGGCAACACCAAAATTGGAGGTGTAGTGGACAGCGAAGAAGGTTACCACAGAGTACAACGGAATCTTGATCAGATGGGCCAATGGGCCAAGGAGTGGCAGATGGGGTTTAATTTAGATAAAGTGCTGCATTTTGGAAAGGGCAGGACTTATACACTTTAATGGTAAGGTCCTGGGGAGTGTTGCTGAACAAAGAGACCTTGGATTGCAGGTTCATAGTTCCTTGAAAGTGGAGTCACAGGTAGATAGGATAGTGAAGGAGGTGTTTGCTATGCTTGCCTTTATTGGTCAGTGCATTGAGTATAGGAGCTGGGAGGTCATATTGCAGCTGTACAGGAAATTGGTTAGGCCACTTTGGAATACTGTATGCAATTCTGGTCCCCCCTGCTATAGGATGTTGTGAAACATGAAAAGGTTCAGATTAGATTTATGAGGATTTTGCCAGGTTTGGAGGGTTTGAGCTATAGGGAGAGGCTGAATAGACTGTGGCTATATTCATGGAGCATCAGAGGCTGAGGGGTGACCTTATAGATGTTTACAAAATCATGAGGGGCATGGATAGGGTAAAAAGGCAAAGTCTATTCCCTGGGGTGGGGAGTCCAAAACTAGAGGGCATAGGTTTAAGGTGAAAGGGGGAAGATTTAAAAGGGATCTGAGCGGCAACTTTTTCACACAGAGGGCAGTGCATGTATGGAGTGAGCTGCCAGAGGAAGTGGTGCTGTCTGGAACATTTACAACATTTAAAAGACATCTGGATGTGTATATGAATAGGAAGGGTTTAGAGGGAAATGAGCTAATGCTGGCAAATGGGACTAGATTTATTTAGGATATCTGGTTGGTATGCACAAGTTGGTCCTGCTGTATATCTCTATGACTCTAATGCCAGACAATTCCTTTAATACATACGAAAGCATCTTATCCACGTTTCTTCCTCAGTGCTATGCCACTGGTGAAGTTAAATCAACCTCAAGTGAAACTTGAACACAACAATCTTGTCAAATTTCTGGCATCCCTTCCTGGTAACACAGACTGTTTTCATAGAAATGCATAGGTGTAGAAGGCATTGTTAGATAATAAAAGAGAACGTACCTGTATTCAATTTTTATCTCACGGACTCAAAGGACATTGCGACTGGCATTACTGCTTGACTAAGGTCAGTTCAGTACAGAACATGAACTGAATTGAATCTATCACCTTCAAGATCTCCATGGATCATTGAAAACATTTGCTGTCTTATTCATGAATTTTCAAAACAACTAAAACTATAGATTTTCTGAGGGCATGTTTAGAATTTAGTATCTAGAAAATCAAAGTAAAGCCAATTAAGTGGAAAACTTTCAAAAGCTGGAAACCTGACAAACACACACAAGATTAAATATTTGGAAGAAAAAGATCAAAATTTATCCTTCTAAATGGTGACTGATGTGATATGCATTTTCATTTCTATTTCATACATGGAAACGATAATTGCAGCTCCAGGTAAGAGAATTCAGGCTAATTTTATAATTACTTTTCCAGACATCCTGTGCGACACCTACGTTTTGGCACACATACCCTGGTCACTGCAAATATTCCTAATGAGAAATGTCCAAGAGGAGCCAGTATCATGGATGATGATTTAACAGCTCATCGTAGGTAAGACATACCTACTCTACAATCGTGCCATCATCATGTGTATCTAACATATTGAAATGTAGGGCAACATTGTGCATACCATCTAAGTAGTATTGTCAATGTCATCTTCATTTAAAAATAATGATCACAGTTTACCTGTATGTGTTTGTATCCTATGTCAATCAAACTACAGCTAAATATTGGAATCAGGTTTGTATTAAGCTCAAATAAATTGAGGAAATGTCTGCTTTTTTCCAACTACTGTAATTGGCTTCCGTATGTTTGCGAAGTTTTAATCCAGGTCCAGGTTGTGCAATTTGGCATTATAAAATTTCTAATTTGACAGTAAGCTGTTATTAAGTTAGAAGTAATGCTCAGAAATCACAATGGTGGCTTCTGTGTGAAATAGAAGTACCACATCCATGGTAACAGTACGGATATAGGTTTTCTTTTCTGATGTTAAGACTGAGATGTAAAGTAAATTTTTGATTTTAACTTTTGGATAATCAATTGATGGAACACTCATTCTGACAGCAAAGAGGCCCTGATGATTTGAGATTTTGCTCTCAATTAAATTTGGCAGGTGAGTCATGAGACATCAAGAAGAGTCCCAATACAGTTTGTCAGAATGAGGCTTCAGATTAAGACTGCACAGCAGTCAGTGACATGCGAGAGGGGATGGCCATGATTGGTGAGGCTGAGTATTCTGAATCATTAGCAGCAGCTGTAATTACTATTTATACTTCTCCAAGGCACACAAAGGCCTTCGTGGCCAGTTCCAAACAAAAATGGAAATCGGGGCCCTATATGCTTCAAAGGACCCTAATTGGAGCACATGACCTGAAACAGGCAGGTGCTTTGGAAACTCAGCAGCAGGCTCATTTCAAAATGGAGCTGGCCACATTGACAGTGTTGGTAAAGAGATGAGATTATCAGCACAGTTTTAACTGTCCACTTTGTATAAACAAAGGCATTCAGAATTGATTCCAATTTGTGCAGACTTCAATCTGAATTTTAATTATTTTTGACCTTGGGTATAGTCAGTAATGACAATGATTGTAAAAACAAAAAAGAATGCAATTAGCACACACTTTTTCTCTTTCGAATCCACTCACCCTCAACAAGAACAACAATGTCAATTATAAAAAAGTCTAATTTTATAACAAACTTTCCTATGCTAGTTCTTTAACAATATGTTTGATCATTGTACATTGCAGTTTCACATTGCGTATTGATTATATTTTACGGCAGATGAAATGATGAATTTGCTCTAAGTTTAATTTTTTTAAGATTGTTAACTACCAATTATTGTTTTACAGGCATCGAGGAATTATTTATGTCTATGACTTTTCAGTCGATAAATCAGCTTCTGTCTTACCAATCTGTCGTTCCACCTATGATGAAGATGTTGGCTACAGCTACAACATAGCACTTTCGATGCCTTATGACCAAATCAAGTGAATACCTGTCACCTCATGGATGTATTGGTTCCATTACTGTCATACAGTAATTCTGGAAGTATGCTTGTAATTGACCTACATTTTGAGATGTAAGGAAATAATACTTCTCAGGAAAAGGCAAAGGAGACGTCCAGGCCATTGGAGAGACAATTGAACCAGAAATAACCCTTGGTCCTGAAATCCCCCAAGGGCTTACCACTGAACTTTCAAGGAAAATAACATAAATGATCATTTTTACCCATGCATCTGTGGCTGTTCCAATTTATCACCTAAATCATAATGGGAGATCTGTCTTCACCTTTAAATGTTTCTCTTTCTTTTGGTTTCCCTTTTGTGAGATCGTTGTTTCTCATGATGAAATTTGGATTAGAGAAACTGATTATTTGTAGGGTAAAATGAAGTCAGGCACTTTGACTACCGACCCAATTACATAATTCACAGGATGATCCATTGTATATAGATAATGCAGAGAAAGCAGAAGATAAAACTATTTTCCACAAATAGTATATTATTTTAAGTATTCAATAAAGCTGCCATTTGTGGCTGGTGCTTTTCTGTTTGCTTAAATCACTGTTCTATCTCCGGTCCTGAAGGTGGTCATTCATTTTGGAATACAGGTTAGAGGATGGAGCTTCTTTGATGCAGGGGGAGCATCCCTGCCTGAGCCAGATATTTCGGGTTCAAGTCTCGTTCAGGACTGAAAGGCCAAGAAAGGTATGTTTATAATGCGACTAAACAAGTTGAGTATCAGAGATAGTAGGAACTGCCAATGCTGGAGAATCTGAGATAACAAGGTGTAGTTGACTATCAACCTTCTAACATATACCAATGACAGGCAGTGAAATTTGGAGCCTCTACCATCTCAATTCATAGCTCTGAACCACAATATGCGTGTTGTGATAGCAACTCTGACTTCTTGCGGAGAGTGGTTGGCTCAGTTGACTGGACCACGAATTTGGATCATATTAGTGACAGCAGCATGGGTTAGTCCCTAGTTCTGGCAGAGATCAAATTGGGACTTGCTTCCTTGCCTTTACCCATGGTGGAGTTTGCAGCACTGTGGATCAGAACTGCCCTCAGGCAGGTAGCTGAGCAGACGGCTTGGGACACTAAGTCAAGTAGATGGCAGAGGTGATGGGGCAGATCATACTCATTACCGTCCTCTACTGGTATTTTACACGTTCCAGGATAGGTTGAGGGCAGTGCACCTGCCCTTAGGCCAATTAGGGCCTTTAAGCAATCCCGAATAGCCACTTCAAGGCTTCTCCCCACATTGGGTGATATTTTATTAGCAGCAAGTAGATACCTCGTACATGAATAAGGAAAGCAAAGCCAAAGGAGCAGGAGATGAAAGGATTTGTTTTGATAAAAAAAAAGCTTTTCCTTCTCTTCAGCTACCATTCTAAATTCAAATTGTTGTGATGGCCTATTGTGAGGCCTCAAGTTCATATAGCTTTCATAGGCAAAATAAGTTATGTTCATAGTTTATGCTCGAACTGTTGCATTCTCTGCTTGTTAAGAGCATGGAAGGCTGCTGTCCTCTGCACTTACTGCGGTGACTGGACATGCAACATTGCATTATCAGCCCCTCAGTTCCCCAGCTGTTAGCATTCAATAGTGTTTTTGAACAAAGTGTAAATCATAAATTCTCTTTCATCAAGTGATATCCTTGTCTTTGGGTTATTACTGTTATAATTAAAAGAAATAATAGAACTAATAAATTTGAATTGTAAAATTTTGTACAAATATTGTGTTTTCCAGTAAGAATATAATACTTTTAAACAACATGGAGTCACATAATTTGCACACATTGGTATAGATGTATCCAGATTCAGAATAATTGCATAAACACTACTGAATTAGCAGGTATTAGACTTGATAAGTAAAGTCAAAAGCACACACATTTGGCATTAAATATTTTCTGTATATTAGATATCAAGAAAGACTTAAATATTATTTTATTGACGTCTAATGCACTATGGTTAAGCCTTATTTAAATATTGCAACATCTGCATTTTTCCATGATTTACATAAAATTAGGTTAGACGTTTGCATTTTACTTCATTACTAAAACCATGAAGAATCTAATATTTGTATTGGGCAATTATAAAACCTTTGGTTTTGTGGCTTTAAAAAAAAGGCTTAAGCCACTTTGAAACAAGTCCAGGTGTAAAATGAGGGATAAACTACCATTGTTCTGGAAATATGCCTTCAAATATTATTACTAATTTAAAAGAGTTACCATATGTTCTGTAGAACTGGAAGCCATCATTGTACTTTCATAGAGAATGGACTTCTAGAATGTATGAATCCACTCTTTTTGTGGATGTACGTTGTAAACATTCAAAGGAAACCCTTTAAGCTAATTTCTACTGACAATTTCACATAAACCATAATTGTAGGTGGACAGCTAAGTAGTACTTTATATCAGAAATTTCCTGATATAACATACTCTTAATTCAAAGTTACTTAATTCAAGTTAGTTAATAACTTCGTTAAACAGGCAAAATTCTCACTGTTTATTTAAATACTTTTATTCGAATTTCAGAATTAACTCTAATCTTTGTTAACACAAACTAGATCAGTAATCAGCTGTACATTGTAATTATTTTCTATTTCTTGTCATACTGCAGCAGTGATGCCAGGCACCTTAATTCACAATAAGGCTGTCATACATCAAAACCTAGAAAAATGAAAATCAGAATGAGTGCTGATTAGCAAAAGTAGTTAAAACTGACCTCAACATAAAATGAACACCAAATAGATAAAATGAAGAAAATACAAAGTGATCTAATATGTAATCTAATCTTGCAGTTCAAATGGCAAATACAAGTATACCAGGGTTCACTTTTACTGTTTATGACATCACTTAAATCCCTTGATCATATTACAGCTGTGAAATAACTCCATTCTGTCTGAGATCTATGCACTATACTGTAATGAGCTTTTATGTCAAGTGGGATAGAGTCTTAGAGATACACAGCACGGAAACAGACTATTTGGTCCAACTCGTCTGTGCCAACCAGATATCCTATATAAAAATCTAGTCCCATTTGCCAGTATTTGGCCCATATCCCTCTAAACCCTTACTATTCATACACCCATCCAGATGCCTTTTAAATGTTGTAATCGTAACAGCCTCTACCACTTCCTCTGGCAGCTCATTCCATACACGCACTACACTCTGCATGAAAATGTTGCCCTTAAGTCCCAAATATATCTTTCCCCTCTCACCTTAAACCTACGCCCTCTAGTTTTGGACTCCCCCACCTCGGGCAAAAGACCTTGCCTATTTACCCTATCCATGCCCTTCATGATTTTATAAACCTCTATCAGGTCACCCCTCAGCCTCCAACACTCCAGGGAAGATAGCCCCAGCCTAATCAGCCTCTCCCTGTAGATCAAACCCTCCAACCCTGCCAACATCCTCGTAAATCTTTTCTGAACCCTTTCAAGTTTCACAACATCCTTCCTGGAGGAGGGAGACCAGAATTGCAGGCAGTATTCCAAAAGTGGCTGAACCAGTGTCCTGTACAGCCACAACAGGACCTCCCAACTCCTTTACTCAGTGCACTGACCAATAAAGGCAAGCATTCCAAATGCCTTCTTCACTATCCTATTACCTGTGACTTCACTTTCAACGAACTATGAACCTGCACTCTGAGGTCTCTTTGTTCAGTAATAGCAGATTTCTGTTCAACACAACCTTCCATGTGTATACCAGCCTAAAAGGTGTCGAATATTATATCTGAATTTTTCACTTGCGTTGCTTGGTTAAAGCAAACCGGCATAGTTGCTAGACAACTTCCTGTCTATATTGCAAGGTCATGCTTCAGAAAGGGTTAATGCTGAAGACAGCACTAAGCTCCACCCAATCTGATGATGCCATATGTAATCTAATCTTGCAGTTTCAGTAGCAAATACAAGTTTCCCAGTGTTCGCACTTACCGTTTATGGCATCACTTGACTGGGGAAAGGCACACAGCTCTGAATCTTGAGGAAGCATCTTGGGCTCCATAACAAAGTTGCTGGAAAAGCTCAGTAGGTGACCCGAGGAAGGATCACTGGACCTGAAACGTTAACTCTGTTTTAACTCTGTTTTTTCCTTCACAGATGCTGCCAGATCTGCTGAGCTTTTCCAGCAACTTTGTTTTTGTTCCTGATTTACAGCATCTGCAGTTCTTTCAGTTTTTATTGGTCTCCATAATAATGTTTCGATATTCCAAGGACAGACAATGACAATCAGGAATTCCAATCTGGCTGCTTCAGAAATGTGGACCGTTGCTGAAGTCAATACAGATCTCCATAATGCAGGATAGTGGGAGGAAGTAAAACCACGTCCCCTTTTCATGCCGTGTTCTGAGATTTAAATATCTGCTGGCATAGGGACCAAACACTTTGACATCTGTTGTAAAAGGGTAAGAACGTAAGGTAAGTATGAATAGAGTGGCAATTAGTTAAGTGAATCGGGTGTCGGATGTCAGGCCATTAGGCAACAACGTGTTTGATGGTGGGAGGGAGGTACTGTCAAGACGCAGAGGGCTGCTGGGTATCAGCTTTTATGTGTCAAGGGTGAGGAAGGGGAGGGCATCAGGTTTCAAAGGCTCAGGCGAGTGGCAGTGGGAAGGCAGGTGTCAGGGCTGGTGTGAGGAGTAGTTAGGTCCCAAGAATTAAAACTAGTAGCAGGCAAAGTGGAGAGTGTTGACAATGGTCAGTAAGGGGTTTGGCAGTATAGAATTGGACATGGTGTGTTTAAAGATACAGAATTGCTTCTAAGCTAGATGTTAAATCAGAAGCTGAACAAGTAAATGCACTTTGTATTTGACAGAAACCACAGCTGATGGTTCTTTAGCACCAAAACTTTAAAAAAGACAGATACTTAGATGAAATTTCACAAGCTTTTGTCAATTACCTCAGTAAGAACAAATAAAATCCTTGAAAGACCATGACTTAAGAGTTCAGCATCCAGGGAACTCTATAGATTATTTCATTAATGATCTCCGCAGATGTATGTGAACTGTGTCTATGGAGCTTTGAAATTAGTATTCATGAGACAGAATTGTCATTGAAATTGCTGATGAAATTTGGCAGATTTATTAGAGTCAAAAGGAAGGTGTAACTTTGGACAAAGCTATTCAGATGTGGGTGAAGCAGAAGTCTAGAAATAATACCGATAAATTCTAAGAGGTAGTACATTCACAAATCCAGATATTGTCAAGAAGAAATAGTCGAGCTCAGAAATCAAATATAGTCCAAAAAAGAAAATGCCTTCTTCATCAAGGCAGCTGTCTACCATGAAGAAAATTCATGAGATCAAAGATTCCCCTAGATAGCGCCGTGGGACAATTACATAACCATTTCAGAGATATGTCTGCAGGATGACATAGATTGTGACCTGAATCTTGAAGAGTACAAGACATTTAGAAGGGACAGTAAGTGAGGAAAAGTTGGAAGGATGGCTGTGTATGAGGAAACTTCTCCTGGGGTAAAGTAACACTTATAAATGAACATACTGGTCATGTTGGTTCTCCATTTTAAAGTACGCACAATGAGTCAGACCAGTATGACTCATTCAGCAGTTTTATTGGCTTATCCCTAAATATGCTAAGTTCAGGCAACCCAAATATGGAAACGGTTTAGATAGTGCTAAGACATGAAAAAAGGAAGAAGTCACTTGTAGGAGAGCGTATGAGTCCCCTAACAGTAACCACATAGTAGGGTGGAACATAACGAAGAAATAATGAGAGCTAGTTAGAAAAGCAGAGTGATAATCATGGGAGATTTCAATCTAATTTTTCCAGTCTATATGTAGAAGGGCAGAAGCAGCCTAGATGAGAACAATATTTGGAGTCAACCAGAAAGCAAGCTATATTAGACCAGGTATTGTACAACGAGATATGATCATCTCAAACTGAAAGTGCCCTAGATAGTAGCAGCCATAATATAATGATATTTACTTTCAGTTTGATGTAAAGGGAAGTGCACCGGGGGCTCATTTTTAAAATTAAAGGGAAATTAGGAGGACATGAATGCAGAGTTGGCTAAAGTAAATTGACAAATTAGCTCATAGGATAAGTCAATAAAGATGCAGTGGCAGACATTTCAGAATAGAGAGACGAGATACATTCCAAAGAGTAAGAAAAATTCCAAAGGACAAAATTATCATTGTGGCTAAAGTAAGGTTAAAGACAGTATCTTACATAACCACATAATTGTGCAAAGACAGGTAGCAGGTTAGAAGATTGGACAGAATATTAAAACAAAAGCAAAAAAGTGACAAAAAAAATTAGAAAAGCTTGACCAGAAATATAAAGATCGGTACTAAGTGTTTCCATAAATATTTGAGACAGACAAGAGTTAACAAAATGAGCCTTCAGTCTGTAGAAAGTAAGTCTGGTGAACTAATAATTGAAAATAAGGAAATGGCAGATGAATAGCACAGGTATTTTGCATTGGTCACTGTAAATGATGTAAATAGCAGTTAAAAATCCGGCAATGAGCATCTCAGGAAATTCACAATCAACGGAGAAGTGGTACTGAGGCAATCGTGGTATTGCGAGCTTACAAGTATCTGGGTCCTAACAGACTTCATCCAAGTGTCTTAAAAGTTGTTAGTGAGATGGTTGTTTGTGATGAAACTATGGCTTCAGGAGTTGTATTTTGACCTCTTAGCAAAGAAAAACCAGGAAAGGTTGTGACAGAGTTGTCAGGCA